ATCTAATCTACAGTGAGCAAGGTGTGAACACTCCAAGTGAAGGTCAGAGCATGGGACAGCATCACGCCTCATGTTGACCACACCTGACCCGTGAACATCCGGGTTAGAATACGTCTTCAGCAACCCATGTTTGCCGTAATAAGTGACTATGTCTGTCGTAGGAGGACAACGGGATCGAGCGGTCAGGCTCGCTGACTTGGTTGATGCATGTCATCGTATCCTAATTGCGTGGATCGATGCGCATGATATCAATCAATGGATTGACTGGTCCAGACACGATTATTTAGCCTACAGAACTCCGTCATATAGCAGGAATACTTCTGAGTGCGGTGTTAAACAACACACAAACAAACAAACAAACAAATCATGTTGACAAGTCATGTGTCATATTTAGTAGATTCATCGGAAGGTCTACCATAACATGTCTGGAATGAGTGAGTGAGTGAGTATGGTTTTACGCCGCTTTTAGCAATATTCCAGCAATATCACGGCGGGGGACACCAGAAATGGGCTTCACACATTGTACCCATGTCGGGAATCGAACCCGGGTCTTCGGCGTGACGAGCGAACGCTTTAACCACTAGGCTACCCGACCGCCCTTGTCTGGAATGACTTAACAAGGCTTTGATGGTGACACCTCCTTTGAAAGATTAGTCGACAGCAAATAATGTGTCTTTCTGTGTCTAACCTTCTTTATCATTTAACCGCACCATTTATCCACGATAAGCTGATGACATGAAAAGAACAGGCATGTCATAACCCAGTGACACAAGCATGCACATTAGATAACCGTAAACGGAACTTTTGTCACCATATATGTCATGTCTAAAGAAACTTGGATTCCCTCGAGATTGGTGAAATTGTTTAAAAGATCAAAACACTTCTTACTGTGGTTACATGACTGCTGCAGGGTACAGATTGATGGTGTCGAGTTTTCTCAATGACTGTCTCTGTCAGGTAACGTATAAGCGTACCGTGAGCAACTTCTCGACCAATGATGACGACCCTTTTCTTCAGTTGGGAGTGCCTAAATCTCTCGACCCATGGTTTATGGGAAATACACTCTTCAAAAAAAGAAACGCACATGTAGATTTTTAGTAACTTTATTGTACCTAATAAAGTCGATATATTTTGTCGATGAAATTGTGGAGCTCGATAGTCACATGATGTCGTTGTACAAAGGCATTGAAAACTGTTCATTGTCATGTCACATAAGGCCACAAGGTTGCGCTGAACTCAGTATCTCGTGTGACCGCCCCGGGCAGCAATCACGGCTCTGCATCTCCTCGGCACTGACTGGATAAGTGTACGAATTCTTCCTGCTGAATTCTGCGCCATTCTGCTTGTGACGCGTTAGCCAGTTGTGGGAGTGTAGCGATTTGTGGCAAATTTCCCTGAACCACAACCAAGTCAGATCTCGTGTTTAGGATATGGCCCCCAATATCATGACACCACCACCGAAATTGTCGAATTCACGTACACAATTTTGGGCAAAACGCTCATTTCGACGACGATAAACACGTTGTCTTCCATCTCGCCGGTAAAGAAGAAATCGTCTCCAGTTTCTCAAATTCCAAGGCTGTAAGGTATGGCACCAACGCAAGCGTCGCTGTCGATGGATCTGTTGCAAAACAGGGACGATAACTGCTCTTCTGGGTCGGATTCCAGCCTCGCGAAGATGGTTCCTGACAGTCTGGCCCGATATCCTCCTCAAACCAGGGATGTATCCTGCAGTCGCCGTAGCTGTGAATCGTTTTGACGCACCGTTTGTCGAATATCAGGCCACCAACATTTTCCAATAACATACATCCAATTTATATACCAGATATTTTTGTGTAGTCAGTTTCAATAAGCCACATACTACCTGTGAGTTTCTTTTTTTGAAGAGTGTATTTATTGTGACAAAAGAACTGATCAGCACAAACAAATATCCAAAATTATTTGACGAGACATTCCGTCCCACCCACTAATGAAATATCCCAGATCGTTTTTTTCCCGACCCGCAGAGCGCCCCAAGGTCCTGGCCTCTGGTAGTCAACAGTCCGTGATATCCAGGTAGCCGAGTCCCTGGCGGTGTGAGCGCAATGTTGGCCGGAAAAGTAACTGGTAAACTTCCAAGCCCGAAACCAATCAAACGACGCAGGATTTCCATGGAAACTGACCGTGACATCCTTCCAAATATTGTGACCGGCTTGACGTTACGCCGTGAGAGCGCTCCAAACGTGGTGAAATAATATCACGGATATAATCAAATGTCACAAAATGAAATGTATCTACAATATTTACAGTTTCAAATATGTATAATACTTATTTCTCGCCACTTTTGAGGGGAGGCACATGGAACAGCCACCGAGATATTACGTACGAGCTCGTAGATAAAATGTTTGACAGAACGGGACAGAATTTTTATTGTAATCAGACCTTTTCACGCAGCATATGATGAGTTACACATATACACACAATAATCAACAGAAGTAATGGCAATCATAATATGCTCTGCAAAAAAGAAGCGCAAGAGTAGAAAAATCGTTAATATCTGACCGAATGTTGCCGACATCCATACAAAATTAATATAAAAAATGAACTGGTCATTTCTGCATGGTTTGGGATTGAATTGTGTGGAAAGAATGTGGTACTGCCGAAAATTGGCGAAGAGATGAAAAAATGGCAAAAACACAACCACGTGAGAGCCTGGCGCCGAAAAACACCAACATGACATGCACGTGCAACATAACTTGTTGGGCTATAAAAACGTTGGGTTTTCTTTTGCATGTCATCACAATGTCACAGCAAGGGAACAGCAAAAACATGCCACGACAGACGGCAGACAGGAGAATCATCTTTAGCTGTAGCCAGGTTTTGCCACGTACCACTAGAAGACTGTGGAACATTTATCAGAAACACGGGGCAACACATGACCTTTCTAGATCCGATCGACCACGTGCCACTTCTAGAGCACAGGACAGATTCATATGGCTAAGTCACTGACGTGAAGGCACCACCACGGCCACCTCTACTACTACGGCAATACCGGGACTACGTAGGATATCCGCCCAGACAGTGAGGAACCGTTTACTCGCTGAAGGTATTCGCACCAGACAAATTCGAGGGGTCATTTTGACGGACATGCATCGTCGGCTTCGACGTCAATGGCGTCGCGGGGAACGGTATGACCGAAACTGTATACAGGAAGTGGACACATTTTGCGGTGGCTGCGTAATGATGTGGGCAGCCATCTCCTACACTGGTAGAACAGACTTGGTGCAAGTTCTAGGGAATTTAACGACACAACCTTACACTGATGAGATTCTTCGACCACACGTCCTTCCCATTATGCAACAAGAGAACGTCATTATCCAACAAGACAACGCCCGACCTCAAAACAGACTGCCACCAGCCTTTTCGACAAATCGTCCACGTCCTGTTATGCCCTTCCAGGTGTTCTGATTAAAACCAAATCGAACATTTATGCACTGGATCGACGACTGCAAGCGCGTCAGCAGCAACCCCGTGCACCCAACCTCCGACACTTAGCACTGCAAGGCGTTCCGGATCTAATTGCATCCATGGGACTACGATGCCAGTCAGTTTTGGACTAACTTTGGCCATACAACATATTGAGAACAGGTTGCCTTCACCTTGAAAATCTACTGTTCCATGTGTGCCATGTGGAATCGATGAGAATGATGAGTGCCAATTTTGAACGATCGATAACCATCTGTTGATTATCTATATGCTATATGGAATATAAAATCACTTTTGCTTTTTTCTTGCAGAGTATATAATGGATAACAATATATATTACATATCGATATTGCATTTACTGAAACGTAAATGACGTCAGGAGAAAAACACAACATTTAATTGTAAGACCAAGCTTTAGGTAAGGAAATCCAATTCTGAAAACATAACGCTATCATAGAACAAATATTTTGATATATATCATAGAATTAGTAACGAAGTATTCTATTTTTTCTTCCCCAGATGTTGGCAAAGGGTCAATGTATCAGATATGACAAACAAACTTAATATGACAGTTATGAAAACAATCCCGGAGTAGCCAATCATCTGCGCTGAAGGTCTATCATCGGGCTGGGATTCTCGCTTCCGTCGTACAGACGACAGTGTTGATTGGTCAACTTTCAGCCATACAAGAATTTCATCGATGACGTCTTGGATCTCGGTGCTATTTTTAACTTTGACACAAAATTCACATGGGCAGTTGCCAGATGTGTTGTTGCCTGAACGTGAAGCAAAAATTTGTTTTATTCAAGTCACATAGCTGGCACATATAAACAAGGGGCGGCATCCATGGGGGTGTCTGCGGTCTCCCGATTGACATACACAATAAACTACGGTTATAACGAACTCAAAGGGACCACTCAATTTTGTTCGTAATAACCGCAGTTCGGTATAAGCATATATATATAGCATGTATACAACAAATGGCCGGGACTAATAAATAAGTTCGTTATATCGGTCTGTTCGTTATGAACGTAGTTTACTGTAGATGCTGAGCTTGCTGGATGAACCTGATAGCACCGCCACACATATACACATAAAACTATACCTCTCAGTTGACTTTATCATATGTTTGAGTCTCAACTGAAAAAATCTTAAATAAGCGATATAATATAAAGAAAATAGACTGTACTGACTCTTAGTCATGTTTTCATTTTTAAAACATAAGTTTATTTGAAACTTTTTAAAATCAATAAAAAATAATTGCGTATAATCCTCAATAGCTGATATGTATTTTAGACATCTTATCTTAAAAATTATTAAATATGTTGTTTTTTTCACAAATGTTTCAAACATGGTAGGTGTCATGTGGCTGCATATCCATTTCTTACCCTAGCCTTAATTGAACCAATTCATTTTTACACAAAACTGCCTAGCCACAAAGTTCGTTATATCCGTCAGTTTGTTACAAGCGTATTCGTTATAAACGTATTTTACTGTATATGGAGACGGTTCGATTTACTGGCAGAGATTTCCACTTACCGATATCGAGTGGGGATGTTGTCGCAGGCACTGCTGGGGAAGAAGCAACAGTGGGGTGCGTGGAAGTTTGTGCCGTAGTTTGAGTGGTGGCTGTCGTGGTAGATTGAGAGGTGGTTGTCGTGGTAGGTTGTGTGGTCGTTGTCGTGGTGGGTTGAGTGGCCGCTGTCGTGGTAGGTTGAGTGGTCGATGTCGTGGTAGGTTGTGTGGCCGTTGTCGTGGTAGGTTGAGTGGTCGATGTCGTGGTAGGTTGAGTGGTCGATGTCGTGGTAGGTTGAGTGGTCGATGTCGTGGTAGGTTGAGTGGCCGTTGTCGTGGTAGGTTGAGTGGTCGATGTCGTGGTAGGTTGAGTGGTCGTTGTCGTAGTAGGTTGTGTGGTCGTTGTCGTGGTAGGTTGAGTGGTCGTTGTCGTGGTAGGTTGAGTGGTCGTTGTCGTGGTAGGTTGAGTGGTCGATGTCGTGGTAGGTTGAGTGGTCGATGTCGTGGTAGGTTGAGTGGTCGTTGTCGTGGTAGGTTGAGTGGTCGTTGTCGTGGTAGATTGAGTGGTCGTTGTCGTGGTAGATTGAGTGGTCGTTGTCGTGGTAGATTGAGTGGTCGTTGTCGTGGTAGGTTGTGTGGTCGTTGTCGTGGTAGGCTGAGTGGCCGCTGTCGTGATAGGTTGAGTGGCCGCTGTCGTGGTAGGTTGAGTGGTCGTTGTCGTGGTTGGTTGAGTGGTCGTTGTCGTGGTGGGTTGAGTGGTCGATGTCGTGGTAGGTTGAGTGGTCGTTTTCGTGGTAGGTTGAGTGGTCGATGTCGTGGTAGGTTGTGTGGTCGTTGTCGTGGTAGGTTGAGTGGTCGATGTCGTGGTAGGTTGAGTGGCCGTTGTCGTGGCTTGTGTGCTAGGCTGATTGTCTGGAGGTATGTTATGCTGGAGATTAGTTGTCGTGGTAGGTTGAGTGGTCGTTGTCATTATAGGTTGAGTGGTCGATGTCGTGGTAGGTTGAGTGGTCGATGTCGTGGTAGGTTGAGTTGTCGTTGACGTTGTAGGTTGAGTGGTGGTTGTCGTGGTAGGTTGAGTGGTCGTCGTCGTGGTAGATTGAGTGGTCGTAGCTTGTGTGCTAGGCTGATTGTCTGGATATTTATTATGCTGGGGATTAGTTGTCGTGGTAGGTTCAGTGGTCGTTGTCGTCGTAGGCAGAGTAGTAGATGTTGTGGTAGATGTCGTGATCTTCTGAATAGTGGTTTGCGTGGTAGTCAGAGGGTTTGCTTGTGCCATTGGCTGGGCGTTACTTGTTGAGGTAGACTGAGTGGTAGTTTGTGTTGTAGACGGTGTAGTAGTTTCTGCTGCAGAAGGGACGGGTTGTGTCGCAATCAAAGTAGCTATAGTTGCCGTGGTTAAGGATGTTGTTGTATTTGTGGTTAGGTCGCAGCTGATGACAGGAAAATTGCTGTCATCATCAGAGACTTGTGTCGTCGATTCATTGAAAGAAACTGTGAATTAGAAATATTGAATGTAACATCATTTGCCTTCAGCAGTATCATGGTTGGAAGTGATAATATATGTACGTGATGCATTAAAAATGAATGTGTATGATTTTACGCCGCTTTTAGCAATATTTCTGCCCTATGACGGTTGACACATCAGTTAGCGTCAAACATTGTACCCACGTGGGGGAACGAGCGAACGTCGTAACAACGAGATTACCCCTCGGCCTCGGCAAACAGGAAATTGAGGTAATGCATAACTGTCTTTCACTATAACACACACTACAGACACTACAACACACACTACAGACACTATAACACACACTACAGACACTATAACACACACTACAGACACTATAACACACACAACAGACCCTACAACACACACTACCGACACTTTAACACACCACGGACACTATAACACAATCTACGGACATTACAACACACTACAGACACTACAACACACACTACAGACACTAAAACACACACAACAGACACTATAACACACACTACAGACACTATAACACACACTACAGACACTATAACACACATTACAGACACTATAACACACACTACAGACACTACAACACACACTACAGACACTATAACACACTACGGAAACTACAACACACACTACAGACACTATTACACACACTATAGGCACTATAACACACAACAGAACTATAATACCTACTACAGAAACTATAACACATACTGCAGACACTAAAACACACACACCAGACACTATAACACACACTACGGACACTACGATACACTACATACACTATAACACACTACAGAACTATAACACTCACTTCAGACACTATAACACACACTACAGACACTATTACACATACTGCAGACACAAAAACACACACACCAGACACTATAACACACACTACGGACACTACAATACACTACAGACACTATAGCACACTACAGAACTATAACACTCACTTCAGACACTATAACACACACTGCAGACACTATAACACACACTGCAGACACTATAACACACACTACAGACACTATAACACACACTACAGACACTATAACATACACTACGGACACTACAATACACTATAGAAACTATAACACACTACAGAACTATAACACTCACTTCAGACACTATTACACACACTACAGACACTATAACACACACTACAGACACTATAACACACACTACAGACACTATAACACACACTACAGACACTATAACACACACTACGGACACTACAATACACTACAGACACTATAACACACCACAGAACTATAACACTCACTTCAGACACTATAACACACACTACCGACACTATAACACACACTACAGACACTATAACATACACTACAGACACTATAACACCACAGAACTATAACACTCACTTCAGACACTATAACACACACTACCGACACTATGACACACACTACAGACACTATAACACACACTACCGACAATGTTACATGTGCGACATACAATACACATAACAGGTACTATCACACAGAGTATCACCCACACATCATTACATGCGAACCATGCACATATATTCACCGATTAGCCAGTGTAGCATCTCCATTTTATTGTGATAAATACCCATGACGTCATCAACTCCACCTGGCTAACTAACTTAGCACAAAATGTCTCTCGCCCATGATCGAATTTGATTGCATGGTTATAATAGCGCCGTGTCGTTCGTGTCGAGATCACTGCGTGACATGAGTCCAGGGTGCTATTGATGAACTTATAGTAAACGTGCTAACCGAGGATGAGCAAACCACATCCTCGCTCAAACACAAACACAAACACAAAACAGATCCTTGTCAGGGTTTACATAATACATATGAAGATCCAGTTTAGAAAAGGTCGTCAGCAACCCATGCCTTTCATAAAAAGCGACTATGCTTGTCGTAAGAGGCGACTAACGGGATCGGGTGGTCAGGCTCGCTGACTTGGTTGATGCATGTCATCGTATCCAAATTGCGTGGATCGATGCTCATGATATCAATAACCGGATTGTCTGGTCCAGGCTCGATTATATACAGACCACATGTAGCTGGAATATTGCGTTAAACAGCAAACAAACAAACAAATAATAATACATGTATATGTGGTTAATGGGATTAACTTCATCCGGCATAACAATACGCAACAGCCGCAGTGAATATTGATTTCACGGTATCTTATTCAATATTTGAAAAGGATAGGAAACGAGGCGGAGACAAACAAACTCGTAACATCCCAAGCCTTGAAGACTTGCCATGACCTCCGCATCGACCATGACCTCTACATCGACCATGACCTCCACATCGTTCATGACAACACACTAATCATGGCCTTCACATCAACCATGACCTACACATCTCCCATGACCTACACATCGTCCATGACCTACACATCAACCATGACCTCCACATCGTCCATGACAACACACCAGTCATGACCTACACATCAGCCATGACCTACACATCAACCATGACCTCCACATCGTCCATGACAACACACCAGTCATGACCTACACATCAGTCATGACCTACACATCAGCCATGACCTCCACATCGTCCATGACCTACACATCAACCATGACCTCCACATCGTCCATGACCTACACATCAACCATGACCTACACATCAGCCATGACCTACACATCGTCCATGACCTACACATCAGCCATGACCTACACATCAACCATGACCTACACATCGTCCATGACCTACACATCAGCCATGACCTACACATCAGCCATGACCTACACATCAACCATGACGTACACATCAATCATTACCTAGACATCGTCCATGACCTCCACAACAACCATGACCTCCACATCGTCCATTACAACACACCATTCATGACCTACACACCAGTCATGACCTACACATCGTCCTTGACCTACACATCAACCATGACCTCCACATCGTCCATGACAACACACCAGTCATGACCTACACATCAGCCATGACCTACACATCAACCATGACCTACACATCAACCATGACCTCCACATCAACCATGACCTCCACATCGTCCATGACCTTCTCAGCATCCAGCACCTACACATCGTCCATGACAACACACCAGTCATGACCTACACATCGTCCATGACCTACACATCAACCATGACCTCCACATCGTCCATGACAACACACCAGTCATGACCTACACACCAGTCATGACCTACACATCAGCCATGACCTACACATCAATCATGAACTCCACATCGTCCATGACAACACACCAGTCATGACCTCCACATCGTCCATGACCTCCACATCAACCATGACCTCCACATCGTCCATGACCTCCACATCGTCCATGACCTACTCAGCATCCATGACCTACACATCAACCATGACCTACACATCAACCATGACCTCCACATCGTCCATGACCTCCACATCAACCATGACCTACTCAGCATCCATGACCTCCACATCGTCCATGACCTACTCAGCATCCATGACCTACACATCAACCATGACCTACACATCAACCATGACCTCCACATCGTCCATGACCTCCACATCAACCATGACCTACTCAGCATCCATGACCTACACATCAACCATGACCTCCACATCGTCCATGACCTCCACATCAACCATGACCTACACATCAACCATGACCTCCACATCGTCCATGACCTACTCAGCATCCATGACCTACACATCAACCATGACCTACACATCAACCATGACCTCCACATCGTCCATGACCTACTCAGCATCCATGACCTACTTAGCATCCATCACCTACACATCAACCATGACCTCCACATCGTCTATGACCTACTCAGCATCCATCACCTACACATCGTCCATGACCTACACATCAACCATGACCTACACATCGTCCATGACCTACTCAGCATCCATCATCTACTCATCACCTACACGGGAACAAACACTTACATGTGAAGCAGCTCCTGACACCAGTATCAGCAGACACATCGGATGTGGATCCCAGACACTGCCACGGGGTGCTGGCGAAATACAGCCGACAGTGTGGACTCTCGTAAACGAACATCCAACATGGGAGCCCACTCCTGTATTCAGTGTCGCATCTCTCCAGACATCCTCTTCTGGTCGTCAACTCGACAGCGAGCCGGGCTTCAGCTCCGTCATCACAGTGACCACTGGTCAGGTTGTACGTGCATGGACCTGGAGAAGCAGGGATGCAGATCGTATAGTTCCGTGTCTTAATATCATGTAACAGAGGCCACGAAGGAAATCAATTACGACATACGCAAAGTGTTATAGGGCAGTGAAATATATTGCTAAAAAATGTGATACGCAGTGGAAGTCCTAAACTCAAAATGAAAATGAAAGTTCATGCCTGTTTACTAACGGAACTCAAATTACACCATATTGATAATATGACACCTGACATCTCGTGATATAACTGAAATACTCCCACATCAAACTGACACGCCGTGATATAACTGAAATACTCCCAAATCACATCAAACTGACACGCCGTGATATAACTGAAATACTCCCACATCAAATTAACACGCCGTGATATAACTGAAATACTCCCAAATCACATCAAATTGACACGCCGTGATATAACTGAAACCCCTGTTTCCAGATTTTGATCGGGTAAGATGTTTGCGAAATGTGTCTTACCTGTGTTCTTCTCGCATACATACGGTAGTCGGTCTCCACAGTGTTTAGGCATCCACTTGCACGTATCCCTGCCCGCTGCAACGCAAAGTTCATCATCAGATTCCACCCTCCCAGGGGTTGACCAGTGGTCTGAGGTCAGCGGTTCACAGCTGTCCCATCGGTATTTGG